TATTCATAATTACTGTTGTTTTTGGCTTTTTGCATTTTGTTCGATTTAATTATTTTGAATTCGAATTATCCAAAAAAAAATTAAAATATTTAGAGCTATTTAAATTGGTTATTTTTATCCAATATATATAGTATCCAAATTAACCAAAAACTACAAAATAAAATGGCTAAAATATATGAATATACCAGATTGTAGGTTTGTTTTCGTTTTTAGAAGTTTAGAACTCATTCGTATATGCTAGTTNCTTAATGTTTTTAAAGTCAATAATTGTAATATATGTTTACTAATAATTTATATTATTAATTTTTAATTATTTTTAAATGCATTATATTTTAAAATCATTTAAAAAAAAATTATTACATAATTTTATCTAATTATACTATTCAACCGCTACAATGCTATCAATCAACCTTTATATTTGAATTGTTCTCTATTATCCAACCGCCTTTGATTCTAACCGTCTTGTTTCAAACGATCCATTATTCAACTGCTCAAAAACTTTCAACTGTTCGTTTCAAACGGAGTCACCAATCCGACCCAATAATTAGCATCATGTGGATTATAGTATTTGGTGGTCTAGTGCAGTAACTAATTTTCTACTAGATGCACTAAATTGACATAAAGCTAAAAGTCTCATTGTTTACTCGTGACATTTTAGTTAGAATAGTTTCAACATTTGGTTAATAACTTTTTACACTTGAGTATGACTATCATATTAATATTTTCCAACAAAAGTAAAGGAATAAAGAGGAACTAATGAAGTAATACACAAATAGAAATAGAATAACATTTTAAAGGAAACTTAAATTTTAAGAAATTAAGAAGAAAAAGGTTCAATGAACAAATGATTGCCTGTGTGGAGATTTGCCTCTTCTCAAGCAAGACAAAGTGGACCACATTGGTTCATCACATCACTGTGTTGACTCATGACTAACCCCATCATTACTTCAACAGGCGCGTTGTCACGTGATTCTCTCCTCTTCTACTCCACTCCTCACGTGCTTCTTGCATATTCTTGTGGTACAATGGATGTTTGAATCTTAGCCAATTAAAAAGTAAATGGTAACAACCACCAACAAAACAAAATAAGTTTTTTTTTTCACTTGGTTTTGAATAGTTATTAATAAATTTCATTGAATTTTAATCCAAAATCAAAATTACAATAAATGATTTGATACATGTTTTCACCACATTTCTGATATGAGATATTTTTTATACGATTTTTCGATGTTTCTTCTTGTTAGTCATCTCGACAAAAGTTTATTATAAAATATAATTTCTGATTAAATTGGTCAAACTAATTTTGAATCATAACGATTTTTGGTTCGAATTGGGACAGTTTAAATTCTTATACCACTACGATTGCCTGATGTCTAGCCATGGAACAAGACTGTGACAGCTAGTTTGCCTTCAGTGGTTCGGTACATATGCTAGTTAGTTTGTATCTGTTTTTTGAAAAAATCAATGTTGGATTCCGTTAGGCAAGCCATCATTTTAATTTTTTATTTGTACATTATTCGAATGAGGTTCAGGCTAAATCACGATCGAATTTTAATACGGGTTGGTCAAATTTGGTTGCTTACAAAAATCTATTAGACTAATTGCAAAAGTGAATGGATTTATATTAATATTGTAGTATTAAGGTTCATGCTTTGCATGGGAAACAACTAAAATTATAGAAATGTACCTGGGTTTTAAAGTTTTCTTTGGGGATAAAATTGGGTTTCAAAGTTGAAAGGCTTTATCGTAGGATTTTCCTTAAACTAACTTATTCGTTAACATATATAGATAGACAAGTGGTTAAGTTTTACTCGAAACTATTTAATGATAAATACATAGAACTATGACACTCTAAAACCTCATAAATCCATTCAACATCGGGTGTTTGGTTTTTTC